AGTTGAACTAAGCTACAGAACTCCAGCTGGGTGAATCATGTAGCTGGAGTCAATGAACCTTAGCTCAACTTACCGCAGCACCCCTACTGCGCGGGATCAGTGGGAGAAACTCTCCCAGCGACTTCCCTTACTCCTCCTGACCCGGTGGAGTACTGGAGTCAACAGGGATGCGATCAGCGGTCGATTTAGCGGGTCATTACTAGACCCACGAAATTGACCCCCCAGGAAATTGATTCCCACAGCATTGATCTCCTGCTAAGTGAAGACAAGACTCCCATATGTGGCAAGACTCCCTGCGCCGATTGTTACTGGGGCAAACCCAGGCACAGCAGGAGCGAGGCTGGCACTGCCAGGCAGACCAGATGAACCTCAGCAGGTTCCTTTGAGCAAAGGAAAGGACATTCTTTGGGTTCTAGATAGGCACCAACTGGAGAACCAGTGAACTGTGCTTAGAGGCAATCTATCCACTGCCTGGACAGAAGCATTAGCACAATGTATGAGAGGGGAGGACTCCTTAAGGAAAATGGCTGTGATGCCTTATTTCCTCTGACTCAAAAGTTTCCTTAATAGGAAATGGTTTCCAAGCTGTGTGAGCGAGGATGCTGGCCCCTGTGAGAGCAATGGATGCATTCCAACCCTGATGGAATCAAAACACGGGCAGTCTCGCCTTTGGATTTGAAGTGTAAATCGTGTGTACAGAAAAAAGCCCTTATATAAACTGACCAGTGCTCGGGGAGCAGCTTTGCCGCTCTCACAGCATTATTTATGGCCTTGCAGCTTTTTGAATGTGCCTTTTCCAGGGCACTACAAAGCCAAGCAGAAATGGAGAGAGCACCAGGCCTGCCCAGATGATGTAACAGGGAGTGCCCTGTGCCAAGATGAACATGGCCCAGTGCCGCTCGTGAGCTCAGGCAGCAGCACTGGTCTGTTCTTTTCATCAGAGCCTTCTCCACAGGACACTCTTTTGAAATGTGCTGCTATTTTCCTGAAAGTCTTTGCACAGAGCTCACTAAAAGCTCCACTCAGGAGCCTTGGTTCCCAATTCTGAGGTAAAATATTATCAGGTGAAGAACCTGCCTGGCTTCCAAGGGATTTTGGGGGGAAGCCAAGAGCTGATGGTGTTACTCCACGAGGAGTAACGGTAGGTCGAACTAGGAAGCCTAGTTCGAACTACCTAGTTCGTGCCCCGTGTAGCGGCGCTGCACGGGGTTCGAACCAGCGGGGTTTTAAAAATGGCGGCTCCCCGTTTATGCAAATGAAGCCCGGGAAATTCAAATCCCGGGCTTCATTTGCAAGTGCGGTATGCCTACATTACCCCGCTAGTTCGAACTAGTGGGGTAGTGTAGACATACCCTTATTCCCTGTGCCTGCGTGGCAAAGAAAAGGGACAAGTCAAAAACCACCCATGAGCCCCATCCAGAGGCCCTGTCTCAGCCAAACTCCCATTGAATCCAATAGCTGTTTGCCTGGGTACAAAGTGAGGATAAATCTAGTTCTGGATCTTGCCACTCACACTTGCACTGAGTAGGACATTACTCATGCCACTGAAATCAGCCTGGTAACATATAAAAGGAACAGTTTGGGGTTTTTTAATTACGTCAGGCCCAATCCTTTGGTCCTTATGCCTGGCTAGATTCCATCACCATTACTCACGCTGAAACCCGCGAGACACCGCCAAAGTAAGCTACTACTTAGAGTAAGGGTGGCAGAACCTATCCCTCAGTGAGGACCTCAGTACCTGGCCCTGCATATATATTAATAAAAACCTCCTATTCTAGATTGTCAGTGACTCTTTTGATCGTTAAAGCCGAACAAACGTTCAGAAATTGACATGCCCTTTTCCCACCATTGCTGCACTTCACTTTGCTGGTGTCAAACTCCCGGCCCTGGAGCCATCAATGGCCCGATCACTTTCCTAATCCAACCAGCAAAATATTTTGAAAAAGTTATTTAATCAGGCCTACATGGCTGCTGGCCCACAGCAGTTGGGGGCAGAGTGCGGGCACTCACCCGCACACTCGGCTCCCAACAGCCCCCAGACTCCCAGCCCCCAGAGTCCTAGCCGCAGAGGATGCCACTTGGTCTGGGAAGCTGCACTGGCTGCCTCCGTTGCGACATGAACTGTGCTAGTCAAGGAGCCGCCTGAGCTGATGCGGGACGGTGGGGTTCACATTTGGTTATCCTGGAAGTGGGCCAGTGTAAGAGTGCAGATGTTCTGGGGAAGGGAAGCTTTGTAGGATCCAGGGCTCGTCCTGTGTCCAGGAGCCCAGGCAAAGACACTATCAACTTGCCTGTGCTGTATTGCCCACCTCAAGCATTCAAAACTCATGAATCAGTCCCACCACCCCTCAAAAAGAGACTGGCTTCTTGAAATCACAGATAAAAATACACTTGGGGATCTTTTTATGTGACATCTGGTGTTTGAGGTCTGTGGCTGAACTTGGGGTATGTTTTCTAGCTTTTCTCCCCAAACCATAAGATCTTAAAAAAAAAAGAAAAAAGAAAAAGAAGACTGGGATTCTCTTCCAATATCATGCACCAACAAACAAGCATAATGTACTAAGTCAAAGCTATCACAGTTGATAGCAACACAGGCTGCATCAGGTCCCAGATCTGGCTTAATTCTAACAACATGGCTGGGGCTTTCCACATACAAAAAAAGCCCCAATGATCAGGAGGCTTGTGATCACATCAGCAGAGTTGGCATCACTGATAACTAGCCAGTGTCCCAAAATGAATTAATAGTTTCACAGCTTACACCTGTGGATGGGACGGCTCTGCACACACCTCCTCTCTGCTGCAGGGATGTACCGGCAGCACTGTGGAGCTAGCAGCTGGAAGTCCCGCTGCACTGTGAGTTCTGGCAGGTTTTTAATTTCCTAGGGGCAGCAGACAGGGCTGGAGGATGGGTCTATGGGGGGTGGGAGGAGGTGATGCACAGAAACACACATCCCTGGAGCTCTGCCAGAGGGGGATGGCCACTGGCCCACGAGAAGCATTTGAGCACTGGCACTGGCCATAAGGTAAAGTGAGTTTCAGACCCCTGAACTAGATAGTCAGTTCCATCTTCTGTCTATAGGCCATTTCCCTTTGCATCTCACTCTGACATTGGTAGCATGCTGTATTGTTTGGGTCTCTAACAGATCAGGAAGAAAGATCAATTTTTAAAACTACAATTCTTTTCAATGTGTACTGATATTTCTATTCTCCAAGGCTTTTCTAGTGCCTATATTTTTTTTTGTGCAAGTACAAACCTAAATGGATGGTCTGCGCTACTAGCCAGTGTTGCTTTAAGCAAAGAGTCAGCAGGATTTATTTACAACCTGCAGCTGTTTGGCGAAAGACTCTAAGTGCACAGACAAAGAGAGAATCTAGCCAAAGTATTTCATATTAATTCTTTCTAGAGGATCTTAAAGCAGTCTGAGCTGAGAGGGCAGTTTCCAACCTGTCAGTAGCTGAGTTGACTTCTGCCTCATGATCCTGATAAATCATTAAAATACCTGGGTAAAGACAAATCGATCACTGGAGCAGGTACCTAGTCTCTAGACAGATACATGGCTTAGCAGTGGAACCGAATGCACCTGTCTGCCCTCCCCCACTATTCAGCATGGTTCCCGATCCATAGCCCTACCTCCTGAGTGGTGAAATCCAGCCAGTTTGCCTGACACTGAAGTTAGACTTACTGGCCTGTAATTGCCAGGATCATCTCTGGATCTCTTTTTAAAAATTGGTGTCACATTAGCTATCCTCCAGAATATTTGGTACAGAAGCTGATTTAAAGGATAGGTTACAAGCCACAATTAGTTAATTCTGCAATTTCACATTTGAGTTCCTTCAGAACTCTTGGGTGAATACCATCTGATCTCGGTGACTTGTTACTGATTAGTTTATTAATTAATTGGGAATCTCCAGAGTTTATGCTCCTTTCTATTTTCCTCACTAGGATTTAACTTCCACTTTTTAAGCAATACTTTTTTGTCTCTCACTGCTTCTTTTACTTTGTTGTTTAGCTACAGTGGCATTTTTTTGGTTCTTACTGTTTTTTAATTTGGGGTTCACATTTAATTTGAGCCTCTAATATGGTGTCCTTAAAAAATTTCCATGCAGCTTGCAGGGATTTCACTTTTGGCACCCCGCCTTTTCATTTCTGTTTAACTAGCTTCCTTATTTTTGTGTAGTTCCCCTTTCTGAAATCAAATCTATAACTTTGGGCTGCTGAGGTGTTTTCCCTACCACAGGGTTGTTAAATTTTATTACATTATGGTCACTATTTCCAAGCAGTCCAGCTATATTCACCTCTTGGACCAGACCCTGTGCTCTACTTAGGACTAAATCAAGAACTGCCTCTCCTCTTGTGGGTTCTCAGACTGGCTGCTCCAAGAAGCAGTCACTTAAGGTGGAAGAAACTTTATCTCTGCATCTTGTCCTGAGGTGACATGTACCCAGTCAATGTGGGGATAGTTGAAATCCCACATTATTACTGTGTTTTTTATTTTTATAGCCTCTCTAATCTCTGTTAACATTTCACAGTCACTATCACCATCCTGGTCAGGTGGTTGGTAATATATCTCTCCTGCTATAGACTTATTCTTAGAGCACAGAATTACGATCCATAGGATTTTTAGTGATCAACACAAGCAGTTCCATGCAGCAGAGAAGAAGTATAGGACTGTGATGAGAGCATTAGCCTGGAAATGTGGGTGCAAGTCCCTTCTCCACCACAGTGTTTGCCGTGTGCCCTTGGGCAAGTCACTTAGCCTCTCTATGTTTTAACTCTCCATCTCTAAAATGGGGATAACAGAGCCCCCCCCAACCCACAGGGTTGTGTCTAGATGCTACAGGAGCCAGACTGACAGCTTGGTGGCATGCACTGACATACTATGCAGCTGCAGGGAGCCTTGCTCGATGAAAAGCTACTCTTCTATAAAACTGCATTAACAAACATCACAACTGGACATGCGGTGTGTCTACAGTGCCTGGGTCAGGGCTGGAGCTCCTACCTGGAGGCTGCAATCTCCGCCTTCTGCCTGGCAATGGCCGCTGCCCTCTGAGCCCCTTCCACGCTCCTGTCCACCTTCAGCCTGATCTTGGAGCTCTTCAGAGGGATCACCCGCTTCTTCATGCCTTTGATCAGGACGTTCAACCGGTACTTGCCTTCCTCCTTCTTGCCATCCGGCAGGGTGGTGCAGCCATAGCCATGCCGCACATTGTCCAGCCACTCGCCCTCGTACTTCAGGCCGCTCGACCTCTCGCTCACCCCGAAGCCCGAGCGCTTGTCGTTCTTCCACTCGCCCATGTAGGACTCTGTGGTGGTGGCATCGATGTCAGATTCGAAGGGCGGGAACTCCTCCCCTTCCGCCCCTTCACCCAAGCTGACAGTGGAGGTGGCATCGCTGGCCGCCGAGCTGATGCCGCTCTCGCTCTTGAGGAAGCTGAGGCGGCTCTTCTGGCTGGCCAGGGAGGTTTTGGACTCTGATTTCTTTAGCTTCCCCAGCAGAGATCCCCGTCGGAAGAGGCCCCCTTTTTTCAGCTTGTTGGCTGCAGGATCTGCATACAGACTGAGGGCAAAGCCTCCCCGATTGATAGTGGGGGACAGGAGGATGCTTTCTGGGCTGGCCACCGGTGAGTCCTGCTGTGGCAAGGTGCCGTTGCTGTGCTCGCTACGGAGGGATGACAGAGAGGTTCGGAGCGGGGAGCGGACCACAGACGCCATGCCGTACGGGACGCTCTGACGGACGCCGTATCCGTGACGCATGCCGTTGGTGAATTGGCCTTGGTACGTTCCTACAGGGAAGAATGGGGACTTTGTTAAGCATGGCACTTTCCCCCTCAAACCGTTGCCTGGATACAAGGCACATGTACAGCCAGTGAAACCACTGCATGGCATAATGGCGGCTCTCAGGCCTATACCCCTCTGCGTCAGAGCTGCACAAGTGATGATCAGTTTGTAGCAGCCCCTACAGCCAGGCAGCTTGGAGAACAGATGCCAGCCATATTCCCTGCCCTGACAGACAATGAGTATTCTCCTTTAGCTCAACAGGTACAGGCCAGCGGCAAAATTCTGCTCCAGTTACACCAGGTGTACACCCAAAATATCTCTAATGGACACTGTATTTACACCAGCATGACTGGGAGCAGACTTTCTGACCAAACAAAACTGAACACCCTTGCCCCGCCCCTTCTCTGAAGCCCCGCCCCACCTGTTCCATCCCACCTCCTTCTGTCACACCCTCACTCATTAGCTCACTCGTGTTCACTGGCCTGGGGAGGGTCCCTTTTTGACTGGATGTTCAGTTGAAAACTGGACACCTGGAAACCCGCCATACCTGGAATTTTAGGTTGTGTGTTCTACACCTGCTGGCTGAGAGCCACTGTATCCATTCTGTATTGTGCAGTCTGCGACTGAACTGGCTCCCCTGTAGCCTCAGGACAACCCCTTTCAGTCCATTGCCCTGCTCCACTCTGTGAGATTCATAATATTGGCCACCACTATTGCTGCACATGGTGAAAATAGCTAATATAGTGTACAGTGACAGCCACCTCCCCATGGACCAGCTCCACACTGGGCTGCCTAGCAGAGGCGGGGGGTTAATTAAAGGTTGGGAAGAAAGAGGGTCTTGTGGCCAAGGCACTGGACTGACTCGGGGTCAGTTTTTGGTTCTTCCTGTGAGTCTTCGGGTAAGTTACTCAGCCTAGGTTCCTCATTTGAATGATGGTGATAAAACATCCACCTACTTCACAGGGGTGTTGTAGGTTGCGAGTGCTCAGATATCAATGTGCACATTCAAAGGTTGCGAGTGCTCAGATATCAATGTGGCTGGGCCCAAAGAAGCACCTGGATAGAGCAAAACTGTCCTCAAAATGCTGGGGAGTCTCTAGAAGACAACTCTGAAAGGAGTGTGTGTCTGCCCTGGAGGCTGGGATGTTTGGAGAGACTCCTCTCCATTTCCCATCCCCCTTTGAAGGGTTTGCATTACATTAAGCTTCTCTTTGGCTGAGGGTGACTCCCTCAGCATCCCCCAGTGGAAGAGGAAAGAACAGGGCTCAGAGTGACACCAGAAGTTCCCTTCCCTGTCAGGAACAAGCAGGCTGCTCCCACAGCGCTCCAGCTCCCGCTGGTCTGCGGTGTCAGGAACACAGTGTGGACTGCAGCCGTCCCTCACGCATTACCTCAGCGTGGAGTCAAACTGCCCCTGGGATAAGCCACTGTCATCAAATCATCAAAATGTAAGGCAGGAAGCGACTTCAAGGGACCAGCAGAATGTCTCCCCCCACACTCAGGCAGGGTATATCTTGGCCCTCCCCAACAGGTGTTTGTCCTGTTCTTCAAAACCTCCAGTGACAGGGATTCCACAGCCTCCCTCAATAACCTTATAATTAGAGAATTTTCCTAATGTGCAACCTAGATCTCCCATGCTGCTAACTGAGCCAATTTACTTCTGGAGCTGCTCTCGGTAGATATGGAGAACCACTGATCACCAATCTCTTTATAATGACCTTCCCAGAGTTGTAAACTGTTATCCCGCCTCTCCCCACCCCCCATTCTGCACCCTCCCTCCCCCAACCTTCTCTTCACTAGACTTTGGGTAAGTCACTTCAGTGCCTGTGCCACAGTTGGCATAGTTGTAAAACAGAGTTAACCTGCCTGTCCCCGGAGCTGAATGAGGTTTAATTTCCTAATGCAAGATCCACTCTTGGAAGGGTAGTAGAGAAGAGCCATGTGGCCTACAGAGAAAATCTTTCTTATACTGTGCTGGGGGCAGGAATACCATTGTGGCACCTCCATACAGAATGATCAAAAGAAGCAGCGTTTCACTGGGGGGAGCCTGTTTCCTGCCCGGCCAATTCCAGCCCCAGAATGCTAATGTGGCTCACACCAGAATCTCTGTCTCCCTGGATTTCCCTCACTCTGTTGATATGGTTGCCTCAGTAACTGCTGCTTTTGTTTTTGGGGAGTTGCCAGTCAAGCTCTGCCTCCATCCATCCCTGGTGCTGCAGCATCGGAATGGGCCATCCCTTCCCGAAATCTGCAGAGCACAACACAGCACAAAACACACTCCCCCCACCACGCTGCTCTCAGGCTGCAAATGAAAGGTCCTAGTGGAGGGCAGGTGTTAAATACCATTGCATAGCATGATCACTCACCCCTTCTAAAGGTTCCATTTCTCCAGGCAAATAGACAGCTGTGTAGGGGGCATTTTTACGGGCATTTGTTCTAAAGCAGCCACTTCCCATTAAACTGGGAGAAGACGTACTGCCAGACTGATTTACTGGCAAGTAGCAGAGTGCAAGCACCCGTAGAGAAGAAAACCTTAAGCAGAGATGGGCACAGAAAGCATATACCCTGCCACAGCATGTTACTGGAGACACTGCCTGCTAATTAGCATTAGGAAGGGTGGTGATAGCAGGGGTGTTACTTCCATTAACTTTGACTCCCTCCCTTTTCCAGCTTTCCCCAAAAGGGAAGGATCAACCTGGTTCCAAGAAATTAAATCCCACAATCTATTACTCAGCTGAAAATGGTCCTGCCCAAGGGATGGTTTCTGAGTCCTTCTTTGGCAATAATGGGAGTGAATGTTTTACAGTCTCCCCAGCCAGTTCTGCCAAATAATCTTCACTCTCAAATGACTGATTTCATTGAAATCCTCTTTGAACCTGTCAGCGGGGTTATAACTCCAGCAGCTGGGGACAGAAGATGGGCCCAGATGCAGCAGCAGCACAAATCCTTCCCCAAGGGCGTCTGTCCAGCTGTCTAAGTTCTCACGTTGTACTCGTCAGCAAAGTGCCTGGCACCTCAGCCTGGAGCTACGAAAACTACAAACGAGGGCACCAAAGAACCCAACCATCACGCAGCATTTGGTTTCCCTGTCGAGATGGCTAGACCAAGGGCTGGGTTTGAGCTAAGAGCTGTGGTGTGAAGTGGCCACCTGCCGAATGGGAACAACCTACCATGGCAAAATTCTCTTCATCCTGTTTCCTGGCATGGTTTGGAGAAACTGCTTTAGAGTCAAGAGGCACAGATTCCATTCTCTGCTCGGCAACTATGGGAGCTTGGGCACACATTGGATCCCCTTTTCCCCTCTGTAAATGGGAGCAATGCTCCTTTCTCACGTTTAATGTTCATCTATAAATCAGTTCACATTCTGTTTAGGGACAGCCTATGGACCCTACCACTTTGCTCTGCTTGTACAGGGGTTGCAGCCTGAGAGCTGAGTTGCCCCATCGTATGAGACCTTTCTGTAGGACATTAGTGACCTTCAGCCTCTCTCAGTGCCTTAAGGCTAGAAGGCTCCCTCCAATACTGGCTCCATATTAGCTTGAAGCTGAATTCTAGCAAGTCTTTGATGCCCAATACATTTTAACAACTCACCCAGGGTCACATCCATGACGAGACCTCCTGTTAACTAAAACTGTGCTCTGACCACTAGACAATGACACCTCCCAGCCACATTCTCTAGGCACCCAGCCACATTGGAGGGGTAGGATTTTAAAAATCTCAATTAGGTGCCCATCTCCTCTTGACTGTCAATGAGATTTAGGTGCCCAACTCCTTTAGGCACTTTTGAAAATCCCACTCAAGGTCTTTTACGTGTGTTCACAGGCCCATTTTAGAACTGGTTGAGGCTGGTTTAGCCTCAACCATTTAAACCTAGAATGGCTGGCCAGTGATGCTACACTTGGTTTAAGCTGGTTTCAGACCTGACCATGCTCCCTAGCCCTCCCTTGTTAAGGATTAATTTGTTTCAAACAGTTAAGCTCAGGTGGCTAAATGTCTCATGTGGATGGGGCCTAAGCAGGGTCCCAGACTAAGCAGGCAGAGAAGATGAGGCACTGAAGTCTGTGGCTATGCCCACCGCATGAAGCTGGACAAACAGTGATTCCCTGTGAAGGGCCAGGACCCAGTTTTGGGCACAATACAGGAAAGCCATGCTTTATACCCTCTTTCAGAGCTTTCACCCTCTTGCCCTGGAAAAACCATAAAACAAACCCCAGAGCCTCACTGGGCAACTGCTGACAGTCTGAGGTGGCCACTGCTGTGTAGTATTGAATAATGAAGTCAAGAAGTAGCAGAAAGACAACTTATATTCCTGCACCAGCCTGCTAGTCACATATCATTAGACAACATATGGAACTGGTCAAGGAGACGGGGGAGCCGGTATCCTCTTCCCAGCAAGGTCTGTCACCAATGCAAGAGGGGCGGGGAGAAAGCCAAGGAAAGAGGTGTTAAGCAGGTGGAATCAATGTTAGCATAAACCTTCACTCACAGTCCACTCATCTGCTAAAAGACACAATGCTCCTCTCATTTACACTGATGAGAAACAGAAGTCGATTTCCTTATGGTCAGTAGAGTTACAGTGACATCAAAGTAATGTCATAGGACAATGCCCAGCAATTAGCGTAGGGCACATGGAAAAGGAGGGGCGGTTAACCACGAGTAGGGGCGGAAGAGGTACATCACAGAGTCACCTAGCAACCTTGTTACTTACCTCGCTATAGAAACCATTTTTGTATCTGAAAACAAGGCCAACGTGGACCTAGCTGGCACCTACGCAAAGGCGAGTCAGGGTATTTACCAAAGGCATGTTCCAGGCTACCAAAGGGTCATCCTACTATGGTAAGTCACAAACACCTGTAGGCTAGCGATCAATTAACACGGTATAAAACTATAGTGAAGACAAGCTCTAAAAAGAGGCATCATCTTTATTGCAAGGGGAGTTTGAAATTTTAACCCAGGATAATCAATATATAAAGATCCTCATGTAGACAATACTTCATTTTAACAT